GGAAATGATATGAAAATTGTGATGGTACGTCTTCTTAACGAATTGATAAGACGTTAATAAATTAACAATAGCTCGGTTCATTTTTCACAAGATAATCGTCATTGAATAATAACTTTTAATTATCGAAATTTCACTTCTCAATATGATTGATTAATATGATTCATTTTCTAGCATCAATCTTATCCTTGATAATCTATATTGAGTTTTCCTTGATAATCTATATTGAGGTTAAATGAAAAGAAATTTGCTTCCGGAGTTTTTGTTTAGTGCTTTCTCTTTTACCACACATTTATAAGTATTGTATATGATTTATATAATGTGTATTTTAAAATTATATATAATTTGATAGGAATAATATGCAATGTGAATAGTCAAATATACTTGTTGACTTTAATATAATAGTATTACTATATTAAAATCTATACATCATATACAGATAAATAGATATGTATATATTTTAATAAGATGAACATAAGACTTCTATAATATTGTTACTGAATAAACATATGATTATATTTCTGTTTTGTGTATGTTGCTTGTAAGCATATTTGTATTTTGTTATTAATTATATTTACATTTACTAGTATTATTTTTTTTCAACTGTGGTGCATATATCAATAATCTTTAAAGTTTTTATTTTTAAGAATTATAGTTTTCTTGATTGATATAAGCGAGGAAAATTAGGAATTCTATATTTTACTTGATCAAGTGCTGCCAACTTTTGCTTTTTCAATTTTATAATTATTTTTACGATGTCATATCATATATATATTGGCCATTTTTAAATTTATCGCAACATTTTGTACACAATCAAATTAAATTTGCAGAATTGCTATGTTACACGCATACACGCTCACACTGTCTCAAGGCAATTCATAACCTTTCTATTCCGAGTCTGCCGGTCTTGCGGAGTCAGCGTGTTGGTGAGAGGGGTTGGCGGAACTTCTTGCGTTTACATTCAGTCGATTCTACGATTCTACAAATTCCATCAAACAATTGCGTAACGAATTACGCAATTGTTTAACGTGTATTATCTGTATTAGCAATGTTTCGATTATTCACTTCACTTCGTCAACGAAGTGGAACACTGGTAAGTATTATTGAACTCGCTGTACATCTTGTTATACATGTTCGATTAAACATTTCGATTCCAACATTTTGTCGACTCATTGCATATAAACATGGTTATAATGCATCTAATAAATGAAAATATTTTTATCATTTCCCTAATTTGAGTATGATTACAGCTTGCTACCGTGCCTTCTTCGCTGACAAAAACTGATAATACATCGCTAGCAAAGAATGCTCGCAATTTTACTGTGAGTTCAAAGCTACTCAATGATGGGCCACAGATTCAAAAACCTGCTCCAGATTTCTCCGGTACCGCAGTAGTTAAAGGTGATTTCAAGACCATCAAACTCGACGATTACAAGGGAAAATATGTCGTTCTGTTTTTCTATCCATTAGATTTGTAAGTAATCATGGTTCGATTATCTTTTCTAACATAATTTAATAAATATAATATTTAATTTTTATATTTCTCTTTTGTCCACAGTACATTTGTTTGTCCAACGGAAATCATTGCATTTAGTGATAAGATCTCGGAGTTTGAAGCTCTGAATACACAAGTGATTGGAGTCTCAACAGATTCGCACTTCAGCCATCTGGCATGGATTAATACTCCGAGGAAGCAAGGTGGTCTTGGTGGAGACTTGGGCTATCCTCTCTTGAGTGATTTTAACAAGACAATAGCGAGCAAATATAATGTTTTACTACAAGATTCTGGAATTGCACTCCGAGGTCTGTTCATCATAGATAAGGAAGGAATTCTTCGTCAATTTTGCGTCAACGATCTTCCTGTTGGCAGAAGCGTCGAAGAAACATTAAGATTGATTAAAGCTTTTCAATTTGTTGAAAAACATGGTGAGGTATGTCCCGCAAACTGGCAACCAGATTCTAAAACTATCAAGCCAAATCCGAAAGATAGCAAAAAATATTTTGAATCGGTTAATTAAGCATGCATTTAGAGATTTTATTTGCAAGGGATAAACACAATATATTATATGAATATTCACAAAATGTAATATAAATATTCTAGATTATGATGTAATGTAATGTATAGCTTTAATGCAATGCAATTTAATACATTAGAATTAATATCTCACTTGTTTATATAAAATTAATAAAATTTAAAAAATTATATATATATCTACATATTTATTAAACAATATAGTGTTCTTTCCATATATATATATATATATGTTATATTTTTGTACATTTTGTGTGTACAATAAGTTTAAGAATGGATTGTAAGACAAAAGTATGTGCATGCATAGTTGGCTGATATAGATAATTTAATGAATAGAAGCAAAATAAATGTATTGGTGAATCTTCTTTTTTTATAATATCAAAGAAAAACGAAAATCTTATGTCTTTTTTGTATTTTTTTCAATCGAAATTCGAGATATTTATGATTAGAAAAGCAATATTTACATTATTCTTCGAATAGATTGAATAACAATTTATTTAGAAAATTATTATATAAGTAATGTAATTTAAAATTATTAAGGAATTTATTTACAAATCATCAATAGATAATCTGTAAATTGTTTCTTAGAGATTATTCAATTCACAATCAAAATGCTATAACGCAGTATATAAACAATTAGTGTTAGTTGCTACAATTATTTTGAAACACGAAAGAGGGAGGGGGAGAACGGAAGAGCGGAATATATGTATATACACGGATGCCATAAGATAATTAGAACACGCGCAGCATGAGGTGGATGATGAAATTAAAAGCCGTTACAATGTCAGTAGATAGGTAAGCTGGCGTGCGTTGTTGGCGGAAGCTGCTGCTTTTAAAGACTACTCATGATAAATTTAGTAGAGTGAGCTTATTATTTCTCAAGGAGAGAGGATATACTTGCGCCGGGGTCCCGGCGAATGCTTCCAAGGAAGAGGGATGTGAGAGAGAGAGAGAGAGAGAGAGAGAGAGAGAGAGAGAGAGAGAGAGAGAGAGAGAGAGAGAGAGAGAGAGAGAGAGAGTAG